TTACAAACATTATTAAATCAGCAATAACTCATATATTAACGCATTTTTTGTTACACAGGACAAGCCTGTCAATTCTAATGGCATATGCTGCGAGCAGGTAACGTGTTTATTCCATATTATATGATATAACTATTTTCAATGCTGACAAATTATATTTTTAATGCGTCCAGGGCAAGTCTAATGTTAATGGCATATGTTGCGGGCAGGTAATACATTTTTGTTTCCCTATTGATAGTGTTGTGTTTAGAATAAATAAGTCTCCAGCAAACCATTATTTTTTTATCCTATCTAGGATGCGCCTCTGAATGCTGGTGGCATGTGTTGCCCGTCGGTAATACGCGTTGTCTTGTCGTTTAATAATAGTTTTCATACTGTATCGATAACATTTTTTTTTTCATATTTAGGATAAACCTCTTAATGCTGATGGTATATGTTGCGAGTCGGTAATATATGTCTTTATTATTCTTATATTATCTATAAACAATAACTGTACTGTCGATTTAATAATTTGTTCTATTTATTAATCAGGACAAACCCATTAACAGCCTCGGACAATGCTGCGAAAAGGTAATATTTTTGCTAATTGAGTTATAACATAATCGAGCTTTCTAAATAACATATATATTTAATTTTGATGCATTTAGGACAAGCCGCTTAACGTTGACGGCACATGCTGCCCTCAGGTAATTTGCTTTACTTTCGTAAAGCAATAGTGTTAACATTACTAACGTTGTATCTTATTTAGGATAAGCCCGTTCTCATTTCTGGTGTGTGCTGTGCTTCGGTAATTTGCATTTCCTAGTCGGACGTTAAAGTTAAAATTTGTTACTATTATTATTTACAAAAACTTTTGTCGTATAGGGCATGACCGTTACGAATGGCATATGTTGCCCTCAGGTAACACTTATTATTCCGCAATCCACATAAATTAAACATTAGCAGCGCTAAAGAAATCTTTCTTATTTTATGCATTCAGAATATGATCGGTATTGGAGATCAATGTTGTCCTCAGGTAATATATTAAATCTTTCGTTATTTTTACAAACGTAAATTGTAACGCAACACTGTAAACAACAACGTTTTTACCCTCACAGAATAACGCTGTTATTGATGGAAAATGCTGTTCCCAGGTATGCGCTGCGCAACCTTTATCTGTTAAATTAATAAGGCAAACATGTTACTAATAACCCTTTACTTTATATGTATTATAGGATTCAATCGGCAGCGATGGTCAATGTAAATTTGCTGTCAGGTAACGTAACATTTTTTGTCACTAATATAATATTCGAATTTGTTAATAACATTATTATAAATTTAATTTATATTAATCTGGCGCGTTTAGTACAAGTTCATTAAAGCAAATAATATACGCTGCTCTATGGTAAACTATCACTCTTTTTTATTTTGTTATGTTGCTACTGTTGCACACAATTGACAAACTTTTTGCATTCAGGATTCCCTTGGTAACAATGGTGACGCTTATACGATTTTCGTAACACGGAATTTCCGTCTGGTATAGTTGCAACTTTATAGCGCTGAGGAACAAATCCATATTTGACATTGTGCTGCACAATTTTTAAGTTGCTTTTATGATATTGTTATGCTAGGCAATAGAAGTCACAATATTCTCATAGTAATTGGTACAATTTAAGTATAACATATGGGTTCGATCTGATTTTTCAAACCTCATATTACTTGAGTAATTTTAAGCTGACTGGGATTGTCTCTTGCTCGTATAAAGATAATAACTTTTTCTACAATAAATTTAATAAGTTTATGCAAATTAAATTTTCTCTATTTTTAAGACATTTAATTTTGACTTTATTTTAATTGTTTGCCAAAGTAATTTTTAATAACATTTTTCTTCTAAAAATGTAAATAAACAAAGATTTGCTGTTTACAAACAATAATCAACTTTGAGTTCTTTCCTCCCGTGTTCTTATCGGCAAGATTAGACTAAACAAGTTTGTATTTAGTGGTGAAAATTCGCATAACTTTTTTTTTATAACTATGGATTATCTATCACCACTCGATTAAAGCGTCGATAGAAAATGGTTAATAATCAAACAACAACTTAATGCTACAGTAAATATGATGGTTGATAAACGGAAAGTTGTTCAAAATATACACAACATCATGCTAAACTCTTAAGAATAGACTGATAATATATTCAATCGTTTATGAAGATCTCAGCTTGTAAATCATAATATCACAGCACATAAGAAACATATACCGTACTGTACCTCTCGTGAATTTCGATCACATAAAATAATCGGCAAACCGTCACGTAAACAATAAACTTTAGGGAGAGTTATCTAACAATAATGACAGTGACCAGAAATGTATTGTATTTTATAATCTCGTGTTCTTATAAAAGATCTACGTCGCACAACCGAAAGACTAATTTGGTGGTGGGGTTTTTTGACTAGTCTTTTCCTCTTTTTGATATAAACCGTAATGGAGTCGTGACACATTTTTTTGCTGTTACGCACGCCCATCATGCGTTTATTCTTTGCAATAATGAATAGCAAGTGGCAGAATAAATAAATAAGTTCTCGAACGAACTTTTACCTTCAATTATCTACCAGAACGTTTATGTTATCTAATCACATAATTATCAGACTTAATTTACTTGTCTCTCCTAACGGTTTCGGGGCAGTATAAGAGATTAATTAGAGAACAAGTAAAATCTCTACTTGTATTATTTACTTCATTCTTTGAATCGTTGATTGATTTGTTGAATACAGTTTTTTGGTGGAAACTGTAATAACAGCTTTTAAATTTTGAATTCTTGTTTCTTAATAACCATATCCAACACCATTATGATCTCACTCATGCATATTAATTAGGAGCGGGTTCCAGAATCATAGTGTTGTGTGTTTGCCAAAAGCTAAAAATACTTCACTGGTCTTCGTGCAATTAAGCAATGCGATTGAATTCTCCTTAATATAAGCCACAAATAAGTCTGCGTCTTAACATGCAAATTTCTTTATGGATCTATATCTGTATATTCGTTAAGTTGTTATTGTATCGTTACCGTTGGTCTCATGACAATGCACTCGTTGTAACGACAAGATTAGAAGGTTTTATACAGCTACTTATAAAGAAGGCAATTGCTTATATAATGTAACTGTCTACGAGTATTAATGTACATAGATATTTGTCATACATGCGATGAATGGGACTTGGTTATGTTGTGAAACGTACATTATGTACATTTCCTATATCATCAAGACAATAACAAGCACATCTGACCGTTGGTAGGACATCGTATATCACCGAAAATTCTATGCCGAAACTTTTTTTTTTCAGAACAAAACAAAAGTCTTTTCTTTAATTAGTTATAAAATTTTACTTTTTGTGAGAAAGTCTGTAATAAAGTATTAAGTTATCTTTGTTCTTGGGATCTGCACACGTCATGAAATTGACTGAGAATTACTTGTCTAGTGTTTGTCCAAGTGTGCGCTACATTACAAACATTGGTAGTTACTAATATTGTAATATCTTATTGATAGAAAGCAGGTTATGATTCGATTGCTTACAACAAGGGGTAAGCGCACACTTCACAAGAATTAAGTCGCTCGATTTATTTTCATATTAGGTAATATAAATAACAAAATATATTGTCGGATTTTCACTAGGCGATTTTTAGAATTTATTAATATCAAATTCAGCAAAGATTTAACACCGTACGACATTATTTTAATATGATGTGCGTTACATCGCGTTTGTTAGTAATCTTAGAGGTTTCTATTATGCCTACAAATCGAGCATGAGTTGCTAGCGATTCATGATATAAATAGAGTGCTTCGCTCTCTCAACATCGTGAACGTGAACCGTTCTCAAAGACGACCATTTTTCTTCGCTAATCGTATTTCCATATAGAATAGATAACGTGACTGATTTGTGCAGTAATTATTGGTCAGTACTATTTCACATGGTGATTTACAACTGATTAAATTCTGTCCACGCAACGTTGCTATAAAAGTTAATCTTTTAAAT